GTCAAAAATAAAACCATGTGTCTACAATTTATTTCAAACAAAAAGCACAAGGTTCAAAATACACTCTATACATTCAGTGATCAAAACCAAGTCCCAAAAATGTAGAAGTCACATAATGCTAACATAACATAAAGCATAGCAACATAAATCATATATAACAACATGAGTTATAAGGATACTCTCTCCTCAGCTGCAACGAGTGGACCTTTGGACATGGACCCATATCCGTTTTCTGAACAAGAGAAAGAAAACAATATGTTTGGAATCCAAAATTCTAAAGTCACAATTACTTACAGAGAGAATTATCTGCAAGTATCTGCAACTCAAAAATGACTTCAAGATGAAGTTGAACAAATATATATGAGATCACCACATAAAACAATTCTACCCATAAGTATTACCCAAGCATACAGTATCTACATAACAATTGCAGACCCACTAAAATACTTTCCTCAACTCATAAAACGATACATGTTATCATAGCACTTGACAATAAAAAAAATTGGAAAAAAGTAATTAATTAAAATTATAAAGAAACTAGTAGCGCAACCAACAATACCTAGTTTATTTGTCCTCCATCTAACATACCCATGATAAATAGAAAATTTAAACCTGTCGCACCTTTTTCTTTCCAACACCTCACAGGTAACCAAAATAATCAAATGAAAATTATCAGCAACAGCATACCTACCATTTGAATTTAGTTCCCTTCCAAGTTAACAACCAATGATAAATAGAAAACTTTGACCAAAGGAAGCTGTTAAAGTACCTTCTCTGATCTCCACAGAGGGCTGAAATTCCCCCAATGATCTTCTTGAAGAGAGATGAAGAACCCACCACAGCACCACCCCCCAATCTGTAACCCCTCTTCCAATTCTTACACCTCCTAGGCTACCAACCTAACCAAAAATTGCCAGTAACAAGTTAAAAACATACTTATGACTTCCAAGCATGCATACCCCTTCCCTCTGTTGTCTTCAACTATGTACAAAACAATTACAACCTCAAATACTCAAGTCTACACCCTCCATTGGTTCAGACAGACTACAACCTCCCATCCACCAAACCAATCAATAAAGTCTGCAACTCTGCATGCTATCCCCAATTTAATTCCATGTACACTTTCTAAACTCCTCCCTAATTGGCAGAATTTTCCATATACATACCCTTCTTTTCTCTCGTGTTCTGTTTTTTTTTTTGGTAAAATGTGAATTTTATTATCAAAACTTCTACTATACACAAAGCAGCTCTTTATAATACAGGCTGCTACCAATATTCTCATACAAAGAATAAATTAACTATACAAAAATGGCATATCAGTCTCTACACAAAACTTCTGATCCCTGTTTTGAAGCAATACTCTTAGGTATAAGGGAAGATTTTGCTCTAGCAAAACTAGGTACCTTGTCACGGACATCTATTTGTATCTTACTTACAATTGCAAACTCACTTTTGAATGTCCGTTTGTGAATTCTAGTATTCCTCTCTATCCAAATATGGTATATTGCTGCACACCATGCTAATCTTATAAGACTGCTGTATAATGATTTCCGCTTGGCCTTGTGACACAACCAAGACAAAGCAGATTGCCAAGAGAATGTGGATGGAACTTCTAACATGGAGGAAATAACATCCCAAACAGTCCTAGAGTAAGAGCATGAGAAGAACAAATGGTCTCTAGTCTCATTTTCAGCCCCACACAACACACAAGTAGCATCTATATGGGGAGACCATGTAATTCATTATTATAAACCACTTTCAAAATGCTTGTAGTATTAGACTTACTAAATACATGTAATTCACCCTTAGTTCTGATTCCTTGCCACATTCATCTCTCCCTCAAAGAATCACATTTTTAATAAATAAAAACAAATGACCTCGCTTGCATCCATCAGTTGTTTATTGGTTTATATAACAGAAGCAAAGATTTAAAAGGAAAATAAATATAAAATAAACCTAGCCATTTGGTTTCCAAAATTAGGAGTTACAACAACTTAACTCTGGCTACATTCTAA